CTACAAATAAAGGATTGATAAAGCTATCACAGGTAATATTTTAAAGATAATTTTCTGGACAATTCTGAACTTTACATCAGTGAATGAGAATGAATAATCAGAGAAGATAAGCATAAAAGTAAATATATTCAGGCATTATCTCTCTGCTTCCACTTCTTAACCTTCATTAATCGACATTTGAATTTTAAATTTTAAAAAAACTTAGATATTCTTTTAATTGTTGCTTGTAGTTTGAATCCCTGTGAAAATTAATTGTAACTTTAGCGCCGTGGATATGTCCTTTGTTCGAGCGCCTATTTCTTTCTAACGAGGTTACTGAATATTCTCTTTCCACTGCTTTAAAAGCCCACTCTGAAATATACACTCTCATTTTCTCTTTTTCCTGGAGTTGAACTTTTACTGAACTAGGATAAATTTTTAAATATTTTAATAATAGTACATATGTCAAATATAGAGATACTGCTATGCATTTTCAGTTCTTTTTTGATCATTACTATAAGTCCTCATTCAGATAAAAGTCGGTATAGCTCCTTTAGATTAACAAACAAAATATATAAATGTCAAAAAGAAGAAACACAAATAGAAAACTTAGAATGCTGATTGGCATTATTAAAAATAAATTTTAGTTGTTTTCTCCAGTATCTATTAAAGTTTTTTCAGTGTCAACAGTAAAATTTTATTCCTTAATTCACATAAATTGCATTAATTTACTGGTAGAATTAATCACTTTTTTCTTGCTAATCAAAACTTATTTTTTAACTTTTTATCATTGGCATATAATATAACCTGTGTTATGAAAATCAACCATGAAAATGGTGTGTGTATTAGTAAAAAGAGTGTTATAAACTACTGTGCTCAGAGGTTCCTGATAATGGTTCCTAATTTCAGAAGTGTGCACACATAGCTTTAAGCAAGTTCATCTCTAGGAGGTGCATAATTTGCATGATAATCGTTTTCTTATTTGGTGTTGTATATACTTTCAGGCATTACGTGATATTGAACAGCTTATTTGCTTTTTCTTCTGTTTTTTTTCCCAGAGACAAACTCTGAGGATAACAGTTACTATTCTTTCATGTTAATAATGGATTCCATTTTCTAGTATTTGCTACATTTTACAGCTTTATTCACAGAGCCATTTACATACACTCTTGGCATCTCTGAGTTAAAAGGCACACTTGGGAAATGACAGTCCAAATTTTTACTTCTATAAGCTTGATATTACGAAATTTTCAAACACATAAAAAGTAGAATATACAAAACAAACTTTCAAATTCTAGAGGTTTCAAAATTCTTTACATTTTGCCATATTTGCCATTTCTAATTCTTATTTTTAAAAGGAACTTGCAAATATATAATACAATCCTAAACACTTTAATATGTATCTCTAAAAAAGAAGTAAAATTACCTACATAATATCAATGTTACCACAATTACTTTTGATATTTTTTAATGTCCAGTGCATATACAAATTTCCCCAATTGTTCCCAAATGTTTCTGCAGCTCTTGTTTTCCGATCGAGGCCCATATATTGCATTTGCTGTTATGTCATAAAGCTGGGACCCTGACAGAACCTGGGCTCCAGTTTTCAGGACAGACTGTCAATAACATGCTATCATTCCCCAAATCTTCCAAATCAAACACGGACGCACACCTCCATAACCCCTGCCAAAACGCGGCAAGCGGACGCGGTGTTTTATGGGAAATGTAGTCTTGAATTTTATGGGTTCTCGCGCAGCATTCTGGGAACGAATATTCTGTGCTTTCCTCTGCGCATGTGCAATCAGCTCCATTTTCCTGCTTCCGTCCTCTGCACCATTGAGCGTGCTGGGGGTTCGCACCTCAGGTGAGCGCACGGGGACATGGGGGCTGCTCACGGCTTGCGGAGCAGAATGGAGGGGTGGGCTTGTGTCTAGGGGGCGGGAACTGGACGTCCCGGGAACTCCGCCAAGGTAGATCCTCCCCCTCCCCCAGTCACTGGTGCCCAGGGTAGTCCTGGACCGCGGCCTCAGAAAGGCCGGGTTCCGGGAGCGAAGTTGGTGCTGAGTCCTAGTCAAAAGATGCCCGGCGCGGGCCAGGGTGCGGGAGCCAGAATGCAGCCAGACTTGGGAAATCCCCTGCCGGCAGCGGGACGGGAATGCACGTTCATCGTGTTAACCATGAACCTGCCACAAAGCGCGCGGCCCGTGGTCTGTGGCGAGAGCCTGAGCTTAGGAGCTAGAAGGACTCGGTAAATTTTGGCTCTGTCACTTGGGCACCTGAAAATTGGTTAGTAAAACTTGCTTCATGGCGTTGTCCAGATCCTGTTCATCACCCGTAAAGCATTTAGCCAAGTGCTAGTTCATAAGCCACATGTACACGTTAGTTAGCTCCTGTCCTATTTGGAGGACATTTTGTTCTTTTCATTTAATTCTCACAGCCACCCTAGTTGAAGGTATGACTATATCATCAAAAAAGAATGAGGGAGGCAGAGGCGGGAGGATCTCTTGAGCTCAGGA